AGGTGAGAAACACTGCTATATACCAATCTGAAAGATTGCTAAAACAGAAGCATTCAAATTAGAACATGCTATAGCAAGTCTTCTTCACCTAATTTTTCATTATAAAGTTGTGTGCTTCTTGATCTTCCATAATATATGACGTACTTCTTGACCTCTGTAATATTTCACAAGGCACAGTATGCAGCATGATAAACCCAGAGGAAACTATGGAATTTCACACAATAGGTCTCATTTTTTCGGCTCAGCGTTTGCAATTTAGTTTGTAAAGTTGTTGGACCAAACATCTGCTTTGGATGGTTTCACACTCAGAAGCCCCAGATTCTGACAGCTTCTGTTGTGGCCCCTAAATCGTCCTTGTTAACGGGACGGAAGAGGAAAATATGAATATTCAACTTTAATTAAACATAAATCAATTTAGATTTTTGTCCTCAGCTGTCAATCGGTAATAATTGTGATGGCAAATTGAAATCTCCAAGTTTTGAAACAACATTCATCCAAATAGGAAATTCTGAAAAATAAACAGGGGAGGACAACTTTCCTTCTGCCCTGCGAGTTAGAAGACATTTGTCTTGGCAACGAATATTAAAGTGGATTTTTATAGTGTGATTCAACAGATCTCGCCTTTGACTCTGAGAAGCACAAACCCAACCATCTTTCTGAACCTATCTAACATATGCGGTCCAAGAAAGGTTTGAAGCGAAGGCTCTGATTCAAATCCAGACCCATTTGTGCTAAAAGTGAGGCTTTGTGGCTACTGGTAAAAAATTCTTGATTTCAGCTTACTATGTTTTATTCCTTCCTCTCTAATGGTTGGTTGCCCGCCGTGTACAAAAGGATCACTTACTTTTATTGCTTCCACGAGAGGTTCGTAGAGGTCTGGGAATCCTGAGAAACAGAAGAACATGCAGTGGATCAGTTCGGCCAGTTGATCCAAGCACCGCAGGGCCGAATTGGAGTTTTCCTTCTGAAGGGCCGCGACCACCCTGGGAATATGTGGAAGAAGCTGTTACAGGGAAGAAAAGATGGAGAGAAATTGAGGAATGGGATTTGCACCCGAGGAAAAAGGCGGGCATGCAGAGGAGGGTGAGAAACAAGGACACCCCCAGACCCAGTCTGGATACCAGCTCCCAAATATCAAAACTGTCATGCGGCAGGTCACAGAGAAGCAATCCATTTGCAATCCCAAAGTCTGGAACGAGAGCTCCCGAAGATATCAACAGCCACGCAGCTCCTCACACATCGTGAGCTTTCGGCTGAGGTGACGTGGAAAGGAACGGGTGACGGACATGGCTAGAAAGGATTAGGAGAGCTGCAAGGGGCCTCGTTCTGAGAGACGTCACCATCTGTGCATGTTACCATCAGATTTCAGCAGCTTGTCTCTCCCAAAGCCCTTGCAAACCTGGCCAATTTGAAGTGGGGAGATGTGAGTAAATGTGTGTATGTGTAATGCTGAAGCAACCTGTTCCCAGTAAAACTTCGGTAGGTTAATAGGGAATCTCTGTGTGCTCTACGATCTCCAGAACGTTTCATTTGTCCTTATTTATTGATTGATTCATTCATTCATTCATTTGTGCTTATTTATTCATTCAACTGTGTAGATTCATTCATTTGCGCATATTTATTCATTCATTCATTCATTCATTCATTTGTGTATATGTTTCATTTGTGCATGTTTATTTATCATTCATGCGTATGTATTCATTCGTGCGCATTCATTCATTCATTCATTCGTTCATATTTCTTTATTGTACACTGCCTGATTCCCAATGACCCTGGGCAGTTCACAAGAAACATAACAACCATAAAACAATAAAAATAATACCACAACAAAAGAAGAACCACAGATGGCAAAACCAGGCAGCTACGAACACACAGACACTCCTCAAGAGGAGCTACACCCCTCCTAGCGTAGGATCATGAACTCCTGGGCGTGTTAAGAGAACGCATTAATAAATCCTGTCCCGTTTCCAGCCAAAGCTATGTGCCATGAAGCCTCAACCACACCTATGTCATTACTGAACCAGGTAGAACACAAAGGAGGCAGGAGGGGGTCTGAAAGTAAAAGGGAATGAACTATAAGCGGAGGAATTTGTAACAAAGCTTTAAAAGAGGCAAGGCAAAGTCAACCCTAAGGCAGCTAGCCCAAAGTATCTGCAGTATCCAAGATGGGCTCGTCAGCTCAGGATCCTTAAACGTTTTAAACATGGCTTAATTTTGTTTTCTTCCCTCTCTGAGTCATTTCGGGAACCACCCCTGCTGGGTTTTCCCTCTCCCCAGTGGTCGCCTGGCAGCCATTCCACCAGCTTGTGGCAGAAGGAGACATGGAAAGAAGTATCTGGAGTTTTTCTTGTCCACCCACCTCCCCTTTTCCTTTTATGATATGACTCTGCCTAAGGATAAGGGTTTTTTTCCCCTAGTGCTGTAAGTTGCACGAGTCTTAACAGGTGAAACATGGGGATGTAAATGCAATAAATATCCTTACAAGCTGGCCAACAGCCAGAGACTCAAAGCAATACATGATTCATCAGAACAGGAATTAATTTCTTTTACCAGGTGAAATGCTTCGTGGGAGTGCTGGAAGCTGAGCAACATGTAACGCAGAATAGAGAGAGCTCCCTCTCTTAGAATAGGGTAGAGTAGCTTGGAAAACACCTAAAGAAACAGCAAAATAAAGATAAGGGGAGGTTGATTAGCATACTCAGGATGGTACATGGATGAGCACAATTCCCACAGCACCACCTCTGGTTGGGCCAGAGCAGCTGTGCAAGGCTTGGATTTAGGATCTGGAGGATGTAAGGCATGAAAGCCAGCTGGGTGAGTCCCTCTCTCTCAGCCCAACCCACCTCACAGGGTTGTTGTTGTGGGGAAAACAGGAGGCAGGACCAACAATAATGCCTTGATTTGACCAACAATAAATATAGGATAAAATTCTAATAATGAATAAATAAATACCGCTGCTTATTTTTTAAAAAAAATCTCAAAGTGTTTAAAGATACAATTGATCCATTAAAACCGTAATTTACAACAATTAAAGCACAATATATATATGGGATAAAATAAAATACAGGCAATCCTCGATTTACAACCATTCCTTCAGCGACCGTTCAAAGTTACAATGTTGCTGAATAAAGTGACTTATGACCAGTCTTGCACTTACGACCATCTCTGTCATGTGATCATGATTTGGGTGCTTGGCAACCGTTGCACATTTATAATGGTTGCAGCATCCTGCAGTCACATGATCGCCATTTGTGACCTTCCCAGCTGGCTTCTGACAAGCAAAGTCAGTGGCGAAGACAGCAGGGAAGGTTGCAAGTTGCAGTCACGTGATGTCTTGCTTAGCGACTGCGACAATTTGCTTAATGACTGTGGCAAAAAAGGTCATAAAATTGGGTGTGATTATGTGATGCCTCACTTAATGACCGTACCATTTAGCAATGAATTTTCTAGTCCCTATTGTGGTCATAAGTTGAGGACTACCTGTAGAACAGTATTTCTCAACCTTAGCCATTTTAAGATGGGTGGATTTCAATTCCCAGAATTCCCTAGCCAGCACGCATGCCAACTAGGGAATTCTGGGAGTTGAAGTCCATCCATCTTAAAATGGCCAAGGTTAAAAAACACTGGAATGGAAAATAAAATGAGGAATACAATAACAAAGCAGGAGCCAAGCAAAAGCTGGCCAAACAAGTTAAAAATCACAGCAGTGTTATTAGCGTCACTCAGTGGATCCCAAGCGCTCACTCTTTGGTGGGATTCCTACAAAAGACTCTGTGGAGTTTGTCCTGAATCAGCAAGAAAAAGTTTGCTATTTGTAACCTGAGGTGGAGAAATTGGTGGCTCTGCCAATATTTTGGGGTTCTCATTTATATCGGTGGCTAATGATCAGGCAAATGAAGGGCCTTTCATCTGTTTTCTAGAAGGGTTTGCTTGGGCCTTATCCATGAAGAAATGCCAAAATGTATTTCAGTTCTTGCATTTAAAAATATCTTAATAGACTGGAGGGTTAGGAGGAACCCCCAAAACAACAAGCCAGAGATGACCAGAATTAGTACACCCCTAATCTAAGGTAGGCTGAGTGTGGGCCTCGTGGGGTAAAAGAGGGAGGAATCACAACCAGATGAGCTCGTTCTATTTCATTGTAAAGCTACATTGACAGGATCTTGCAAGTCTGAAAGTGCAGTTCTCCCCCCGTCTCCTTTACTGCCTGAGAAACTAGGGAGAGTCTCTTCTGAGCCTCTTTTTCCATCCATTATGCAGCTGTGGGCTATGCCGTCTCTTATCTGACTATTCCCTAGGCAGCGCCTCTGGGCCCAGTCTCCCAAGGTCCTTCCCACATACCATTACACTGAGCCCAAGCCTTGATGGACTTGTTCTAAATTACAATCAACACCTTTAATTGCACCCAGAGAGTCACAAAAAACAGTACCGTGCACTGAGCATTGTTACAAAGACATGGACCAGAAACAAAATCATGGCTGACTGATTTCTCATTGCTCTCCCTCCCTGCCAGAGATAGCATAAAGATGTTTTCTACGAGCAGATCCCATATCAAAGAGCAAACCAACTCGCTCAATTTTGGAAAGTGTGACTTCCATCAAGATGCTGAACTTCTTCACTGCCGCCAGATCCTTCAGCAAGGCTATGATCCATTTGTCCAAGTTCTTCCCTAGTGGCCATGAGATCCATTCAATCATCCTGCACCAAGAAAGATGGAGAGACAGAGAGGCTGGGATTAGTTCAAATGGTGCAAGCCAGGTCCAGAGCCTCACATTCAAAAATGGAGCTGTTTCCAAGATCCTGAAGAATGGTGGGAACTGAGAAGACATCCTACCTAATTGTTACATGATTTGGAGGAGGCAGTGGAGGAGGAGGGGGAGAATTATTTTTTAAATTAAAAAAATTTTTTTTTTAATTGCTCTTTTGCTTTTATGGTTTTTTATGGTTCCAGGAACCGTGCTAACCCAGCTTTTTAAGTCAACAACCCCATTCTAAAGCAGGGGTAATATATATGAATCTAGCATTGGGTTTCAGGTGGTCTGGACTAGGAGATGGGAAGGGAAGAGTCTAGACCAGTGTTTCTCCACCTTGGCAACTTTGAGATGTGTGGACTTCAACTCCCAGAATTCCCCCGCCCGCCCACGCGGCTGGGGGATTTTGGG